AAAGTCAATACAACAGGTGAGAATCTGAAAACTAAACAAGAACTGAAACTGCTATAACTAGTAGTTTACTCAATTAAGAGTCGGCCTCAAAATACACTGGTCACTCTGTTCAGTGGTAGAATTGGCACACGGAGGCCCGATGGTGCTGTTAATTATGATCTCAAAGGCAAAGCGATTTTTGAAGAAGTGAATCCTGTCGTGTCATGTCGAACTTAAAGTCCATGGGAATACCTCATTGTTCTGGACCGTAGAGTAGAAGAGCGATTGATTGTTTGGACTCTGCCAGAGGCTCTTTCCTTTGGGCTGTTTTTGAATTTAATGGTGATCATATGGGCAAAAAAAGAGGGAGTTTGTTGGTTTCTTATAGACGCTGATGGTAACGCAGGGATGCGCCGCGTCAAGTTCGCTCGAAACTATAGGGGAGCGATCATTAACTATTGGAGTGGGGGAGGACTGGTAAATTTTGGGGGAGGGCTGCGATATTTTGGGCTCCCATTTAGGAAGGGGTAAAATTTTCTGGGCCCGCATTTAGGGGAGGGTTACAATTTTCTGGGCGCCTTTGGGCGATGTGCGCGTACTATTAAATGGGTTTTGTGCTACTGAAATATTAAGCACTGCTTGAAATACAATGGACGTACAAGTAATATTAACAGAATTGCATACTCAAAGCTGAATCGTACGGTCAAAAAGCACTCTGATTGGCTGGAGATGAGCAGTGACTTCACGCCGAATCGCTTCAAATTTGCTTAACTTTGAAATATCTTTGAAAACAGCGTACGGTTTTAGTTTGGCTTCGTTGTTTAATGAACGTCATCGTCATGTGATTTTCCTGTATTATAATACATCTGAATGGCAGATGATTTCATGAAAGCCCTTCTTAAAACGAGCCGCTATCAAAAGTGCACGGATAGTTGATGATATGTTATTGTAACTGAATTTTTTTTTTTTTTTTTCATGTTATGACTGGTACTCGATCTGTATTTGTTTTTGTAACTCAGTCAGTCTTAAATAGTAACAGGAACAGAACTTTTTCTTTTTTAACAAATGCAACATAGTTTTTTTACATGTACAGTATACAAATGTAAAGTGAAGATGTAACAACTAGTCAATAGGCTGATAGTAAGGAGCGCATTTGAAGGTGTTCCAGTAGGGGCCAGAGTCATCTGAACTGCCACTGTCGTATGCTTCCATTGCAGTGCCCAAGGAATATCAAAGGTACTTCCTGATTCCTCCTCCTGACATAATTCAGTGGGATCATCATCATCGGCATCATTATTTATCAATTAAGTTTATGTTTTTGTTAGTTTTTTGTTTTTGTTAGTTCAAAAACCACACAACGGTTCAATAACCACACCAGTAGTTTGAAACCTGCGGAAAGAGAGTCAAAACAAGGTCTCATCCACCGCAAACCGTTATGTTTTGTGCTTTATTAACGCGCGCTCTGTCGGTATATTTAGTTTCCGAATTTTTCTCTGGACCGAGTACGAGTTAGCTTTCCATTTTCAGCGCTTACTCTCTTTCCAGGTCTGTTCACTGTGCCCCTGATGAGAATGACAGAGTTTCTGAGCAGACTAGAACTTCTTAATTAACATCAATCTGTGTTCCTGTCTATATTAGTGAGCTCACTAAAACTTTATAACAATGTACCATAGCTATTTGTAAATTTAGTTCTTGTATCGTTGCTAAATGAGTATTTATCACTTACTTAATGCTACACATTCTAATTAAAAAGTATGTAATGTAGTTGTGGCTATTTTTTCCGCAGCTACACGTAGTTTACGCTCAATGAACTGATGTGTGGTCATTGAATTACTGGTGTGCTTATTGAACTGTTCGGTGGTTATTGAACTGTTGTGTGGTTATTGAACTAAATTAACAAAAAGAAAAAAATGGGTTTTGTAAATATTGTGAATACTAACACTTTTTTTATTCCAATGAAAAATTGTCTCAAAGTTACGCTCAAATGGATTCTCACGGTGCAACATTGGAATACTCAAAATGTTATTACAGGGGAGGGTTAAAATTTTATGGGCACACATTTTTGGAGGGGGCAGGATTTTTGGTCTGTTAACCTGAGAGGGGCTAAAATTTTTAGACCCTCGCTTTTGAAATAATACCGGCCCTCCACCCCCCTCCCCCAATAGTTAATGACCGCTCCCTAAACTTGTAGAGAAAAGTTACAATGGGAAGAAAGGAAGAAAGAGAAATGAAGTTCCTCCTCCTTTCAGTATCTCACAGTGTGAATTCCTCTCAAGCTTTCCTTTTTAATGTAGAGGAAAGTACGTAAGAGACGGAAAATAGAGAAAAGTGAAAGATGACTGAAAAAGAGTCAGGTAGCTGAGGGACAAAAAAAATTAAGAAAGAAAGGAAAACTGTCAAATCCCTTCACAAGATTTGAAGCTGATTATTCGGAAGGTATTATGTCGTCATCTCACGAAGGTGTCCCTGACCATGGTAGTGCGCTTACTGCTGAATTATTTGTATGCCCTTTTGCACCTCGTCTTTTCCATCATATACATTTAACCAGAGTGTGTTCATTAAGGCGATTGGCTCAACAAGGCATTGGTGGTTCAGTGGTAGACTTCTCACTTACCAGGCGGAAGGCACGGGTTCGATTCCCGGCAGTACGTCAGTTCTCTTCGATTTGGATAAGAAAGAATGTGAATGACACTTGTCAGAAAAGTCTGAGCTACATACGACCGGATAAAAGGGTTTTATTTTTGTACTATTCCTAAGTCTAATAAAGAAAGAAAGGAAGAAAGAAAAAAACAATGGCTTGTCAATGTTCTTTTTCGTTTTTCTGTGATAGACGAAAATAGGTGTCTTTGCCTTACTTCCTCGTTTTTCGTATCTCATATGCTGAAAAGCTTAAGGCAGACAAATGCTCGCATTCAAGTGTTTATAGGACCAGTTTCGTATCGCTGATTTGATTGCAGGTCATCCCTCATGAAAAGCAAATTCAGTTGAAGGCTGTTATGCGCTATACTTATCTTCTTCTTCTTCTTTTTTTTTTTTGTGATTACCTTACACATCATATATCTTTGAGTCCAGTATAACGGGTGGTGCATACTTTCGAAATTTTCATCTCATTTGATTGAAAGTACGGGAACAACGTGTCTATGAAATAACCTTCCACATTAAACCAAATGCAATGACGGAAAGGTTGAAAAGGAAAAACAACTTATGTAAGAAGGGAGGTATGAAGATGTACGAGATTTGGTAATAAACTCTATTATTAATGAGAAAAAATAACTTCCACTTTTTTTCCAAGTCTTCCTTACACTACCTGTAACGATATAAAATTTAGTACTGGGGAGTAAACTAAGCCTGGTTGTGTTACAAGGAAATGGCCTATCATAACGAGTATTAAATACACACTGCAATAAAATGAGTCACTGGCAGTTTCATACTCAATTTTATTTTTTCACTTTTCAAGTGAAATTATGCTAACTTTAACCTCTTTAACTTTACCCTGGCGTAAACGCACACATGAAGTAATATAGAAATGACAAATAACAGTTCTACAATGCGAAGGCAGGAGTTGTGTGGAGATAAGCGGAAGAGTACTATTTTTTCATGCAAACATAATGAAGGCCTTTGACATTGGTCGTTTTGATACTAAGAACGCNTTTTTTTTTTTTTTTTGTGATTACCTTACACATCATATATCTTTGAGTCCAGTATAACGGGTGGTGCATACTTTCGAAATTTTCATCTCATTTGATTGAAAGTACGGGAACAACGTGTCTATGAAATAACCTTCCACATTAAACCAAATGCAATGACGGAAAGGTTGAAAAGGAAAAACAACTTATGTAAGAAGGGAGGTATGAAGATGTACGAGATTTGGTAATAAACTCTATTATTAATGAGAAAAAATAACTTCCACTTTTTTTCCAAGTCTTCCTTACACTACCTGTAACGATATAAAATTTAGTACTGGGGAGTAAACTAAGCCTGGTTGTGTTACAAGGAAATGGCCTATCATAACGAGTATTAAATACACACTGCAATAAAATGAGTCACTGGCAGTTTCATACTCAATTTTATTTTTTCACTTTTCAAGTGAAATTATGCTAACTTTAACCTCTTTAACTTTACCCTGGCGTAAACGCACACATGAAGTAATATAGAAATGACAAATAACAGTTCTACAATGCGAAGGCAGGAGTTGTGTGGAGATAAGCGGAAGAGTACTATTTTTTCATGCAAACATAATGAAGGCCTTTGACATTGGTCGTTTTGATACTAAGAACGCATTATTTGTCTGGGCGAACTTGGGCAAACATTCTCTAGTTCATCTGGTTATGCGTCTCTAGTATAAAGACGGGCACAAGACGCATTATGCGTCCAGACGAACTACCTTTCGTAGTGCGTCGTTCAACACGTATTTCAAAGGAAAGTTCGTTCAGAAGCATAATGCGTCTTGTGCCGCTCGTCTTTTTACTTGACACTCATAACCAGGCGAACTATCAAATGTTTGCCCAAGTTTGTCCAGACGGATAATACGTCCTTAGTATAAAAACGGCCATTGACGTTTGGCTGTCTAATACTCTCTAGCCGGCGAAGCTTACGCTAAATCAAATTGCCTCTGCACGTGTTATATTTTCAGTCTATATTTGTATATGGTTTTCTTAACACACACTCACACAATATTCAGTCCTCGCACGAAAAAAAACACTTGGAAAGCTAAACCTTTTAAATTTCTTTTGGAAACCACGGAAAGGAGGGAGACGCCCTTATTAGGACTGGGACCTAGATAGTTCTTCTATCATTATTCGGGACACTGAATTCCAACCAGTGTAAGCATTACCCAAGGTGTAGCCACTGCATTTTCCTACCCATAATTCCACTCTAACCGCCCCTTGTGGGATGTTTTCACAGTACCCCTCAAATGACCGATGATGATACAGATAATGGTTCCCGGATGACCAGTTGTTGTAAACAACAGCCTCAATCGTCATTGGCCCACTGCATTCGTTTCCTTTGAACTTGAAATACTACCGATTACACTTAGAATCACCATAAACCATCATGTTTCCCTGGAATGAGACTTTGAGCGCTGTGTCCGATTTCAACTTGTTAAGAGCACAGTCCTAGAAAAAAAAAAGTGATTAAAATGTCAGCAACTCTAATAAAGCTAAATAACACAAAAATTAATATATACTCTGTGGAAGATATGAGGAAGCTGGTCAGTAGATCATCGAAGAAAAGCTGTCAACTTGATCCTATGCCGACCAATTTAGTAGTCGGCATGTCCGATATGCTTCTCCTCATCATCACTATTGTCGTGAATTCTTCGCTTTCCTTGGGTCACTTTCCATCTGATTGGAAAACGGCCCTTGTGGATCCAAGACTGAAGAAGACCAAGCAAGGGACTTCCTTATCCAATTTAAGACCTGTGAGTAATGTGCAATACCTCTCTAAGTTGGTTGAAAGGGCAGTTTATGATCAGACAACCGATCACGTTACTCAGTCGGGCTTGTATCCCATCCTCCAGTCAGCCTATCGACTGGGTCATAGCACAGAGACTGCCCTATTGAAGATACAGAAAGACATACTAGCTGCAATGGACAATCAACGAGTTACTCTCTTGGTATTGCTAGACCTGAGTGCAGCATTCGACACGATGGACCACCAAGTGTTGTTGAATAGCCTGTACGTGACGTATGGAATTACAGGTACCGCTCTTAAATGGTTTAACTCGTATTTATCAAACAGGAAACAGCGAATCCTGATTAACGGGAGTTATTCGAGTGACTTTGATCTGCCTCAAGGGGTACCTCAAGGAACATGTCTAGGTCCCTTGCTCTTCACATTGTACGCAAGTAAGCTCTTCGATGTTGTTGAATCCCATCTCCCTAACGTTCACGCATACGCTGATGATACGCAGCTCTATATCTCATTTAAGCCGGATGGTTCTGCTACTGAGACGCATGCTGTTGACGCTTAACAGGCTTGCATCAGGGACATAAGAACCTGGATGGTCCAAGACAAACTTCGGCTGAACGATGCTAAGACCGAGTTTCTTATTATAGGTCCACGCGCACAGTTAAATAGGGTTACGATAAGTGACTTGCAAGTAGGTGAGGTAAAGGTTTCTGCTGTCCACTCTGTTAGAAATCTGGGTGCTTGGTTTGATGCAAACATGAATATGACCACACATTTTAACAGCATATGTCAGGATATTTATTACCATCTACATAACATCCGGCGTATTAGAAAGTATTTATCATATGACAATAGGAAGTCCATTGTACAGGCTATTATAATGTCACGATTAGACTATTGTAACGGTCTATTATATGGTACGCCTGCTGTTCATCTTGGTAAGCTGCAACGCCTGCAGAACGCGGCAGCTCGGCTGGTATGTACTGTATCAAGGTATGATCCTATCACACCATCCCTGATCAACCAGCACTGGCTTCCGGTTACCCACAGAATAGAATTCAAGATAGCAATGCTAGTTCACAAATGTATCTACGGTGTCGCACCACAATATCTTTTAAACTTGATAAAAATCAAAGAGGGCTAGCGGTATTAGTTGAGATCATACCGGGGCATACTCCTAATGGACAATACCTATAGAACAAAAAAGACACTCGGGGATAGGGCGTTTGAAAATGCTGCGCCCAAAGAAATTAGACAATGTCAATCATTGAACATTTTGAAAGTTTTACTAAAGACACATCTTTTTAAATTAGCTTTTTATTAGTTCTTTTATTAACTCATATTTTACTTTTATTGTTTTCCGAAAATTGTAAATTATGATTATTATTACTATCATTATTAAGATTAGCCATTTATTACTTTAAGATTTTAGTGTTGTTATGCGCATTCGATTATATCTTTATCGCATGCTAGACTGCGCAATATAAGAAATAAACATTATTTAAAAATATCAGGAAGTCCACAGCAACAAACTAATGAGTGGTGGCGGATCTCTCGCAGTGAGAAAGGTTCGAGAAGGTCATTTAATATACAAAGGGAACACATTATCTCCTCTACGAATAAATAGACGTGACGAAGCTCACTCAGTGATATATGATACCACCTAGTCTCCTATACCAAAACAATCCATTGTTTTTATTGTCACATTTTCAAATTCTTATTTGTAACGAACTTTAAGATTTTTTTATTTTTGTTTCTTTTAGCCCCCGAATCGAAGAAGGTTTGTTTTCAAACCGAAATATTGAGCAATTTGTTTAAATAAATATATATTTTTGTATTATTCTTTTGTCTACTTCTTCATCGCCTTGCTGCAAGGATCAGTTTGCCGTTTCAAATTTTTCTACAAAAATTAATGCCGGCCAGCTGGAGAAAGGTTGATTTAGGATGAAGGCTGGGACAATGAGGTTGGGATCATAGCTGTACTTTAAAGGTTTATCTCAGAAAAAGGATTTTCGAACTCTTTCTACTTATGAACATCATCTTTGGTACTTATAAATAGTTCGTGTTTAGCTTTTAGCGCGTTTCCTGTTTACCTTAATCTTTCCGTTATCAGTATTGCTGCCTGATTTCCACACACATTGTTTCNCACAGCAACAAACTAATGAGTGGTGGCGGATCTCTCGCAGTGAGAAAGGTTCGAGAAGGTCATTTAATATACAAAGGGAACACATTATCTCCTCTACGAATAAATAGACGTGACGAAGCTCACTCAGTGATATATGATACCACCTAGTCTCCTATACCAAAACAATCCATTGTTTTTATTGTCACATTTTCAAATTCTTATTTGTAACGAACTTTAAGATTTTTTTATTTTTGTTTCTTTTAGCCCCCGAATCGAAGAAGGTTTGTTTTCAAACCGAAATATTGAGCAATTTGTTTAAATAAATATATATTTTTGTATTATTCTTTTGTCTACTTCTTCATCGCCTTGCTGCAAGGATCAGTTTGCCGTTTCAAATTTTTCTACAAAAATTAATGCCGGCCAGCTGGAGAAAGGTTGATTTAGGATGAAGGCTGGGACAATGAGGTTGGGATCATAGCTGTACTTTAAAGGTTTATCTCAGAAAAAGGATTTTCGAACTCTTTCTACTTATGAACATCATCTTTGGTACTTATAAATAGTTCGTGTTTAGCTTTTAGCGCGTTTCCTGTTTACCTTAATCTTTCCGTTATCAGTATTGCTGCCTGATTTCCACACACATTGTTTCCAGTTGGTTTGGGATACTACACTTGCTTGACTTGCTTTGGCGCTTTCTCCTTTCTCTCCTTTGTCTCCTTTTCTTCCTTGATTTCCCACAATGCCTGGCTCTCCTTTCATTCCCGCAAGCCCCGATTCACCTTTCATCCCCATATTTCCTGGCGGTCCGCTCTTCCCGAGAGGCCCTTCGCCCCCTCTGTCTCCTCTTAGACCCTGCACTCCTTGCGATCCCTTATCACCAATTTGTCCTTTTGGACCTTCTCTTCCCTGGGGTCCCTGCGGCCCAGGCACGCCCGGCATTCCCGGTATGCCATGTGACCCTGGAATGCCTGGAAAACCATGACTCAGTATAGATTTCTAAAATTAAAAGAAGAACCATAGCCTATTGTAGCAGTAAACGGAGGTAATGTATTTAGAGAGTAATTGCAGTCTGTCTATGAGGCAAAGCGGGAATGAAAGCATACATATTCAGTTAGTAGTGAAGAACGGCGGGAAGTTTTAATCAAAATTCATGAAAACCTATAATAATCCATGTGAAACCAGAAGTTTTCATATATAACCAAGCAGGAATTTTACAGCAAGGATTATTTTAGCAAGGCTACTTATCTTGATAAACTGAAACGAAATATCGCACATTAAAATGCTTAAATGGCATTATCTGACTGTGCGAGCTGACGGGGGACGGGGCATTTACCCTCTCTTTTCGTCCCCCCGCCCACCCCGGGGGATTTGACAGCTCAAGAGTCCCCACCCCCGGGAATTTGCCATCCAAGTCAATAAAAAATGCTAATGCCTGGGCGCAGCTGGAATTGACTGATGCATAACCAAATACAACGATAACAATAATAGCAATGATATTAATAATAATAACGGTAAATTAATGATATTTTTTTACAACCAAAAAAATCTTAAAAGCTAGGGATATTTTAAGATAGTTTATAGTGGAAAGAGAAATTCGTTTTTAAAACAAAGCTCAGTCGCTTTCCTTTTGCTGCTTGCCTTCATAAACAATACAACCCTAAAAAGGAAAGCTCCACCCTCAATTTAACTGACACGACACAGCCGTCAATCGATACCTGTCTATTACTCAGAAACTGCGAAATAAATTGTCTAAAACTGGGTAGATCCGAACAAATCCGTGAGACTAACCTTCGGGGCAAATCTTGAAACGCAGACTTAACAAAAGAAAAGTTGAGGTTTACGTTATTTATCAACTCAATAATAATTCGTGAAGCTCAGAAAAAGCACGGTGCCTTATGACGAAGCTGGCATTTTTATTGTGCCAATATAAACTCCGTTGCAGACCTTTTTAATGCGATTTTTTCCACCCCCTACCTAAAACACAAAAATATCATCTAAAACAGAATAATTGTTTCATACCTCGCATAAATCTTTTAACTTTGCGGTGTTTTGTTGCTGAGGTGAGGTGGTTGTTCCCAGTGAACCGCCAGAAAGGGAGAAAACCAAGAAAACAGCGAAATACTGAACCATTATTAAAACTCAACCAGAACACTGGATTACTGAAGTCAGTGCTACGTGCTCATCAGTTAAATAGCAAATATTTGTTTTGTTCCTGTTTTAATGTTGCTGGTTACCCTTATTTTATTTCCTTATATGGTAAAAATATTTGTTTGTTTTCCTTGTCGAACGAGCTTCCCTTTCAAAGAAAGTCGTTATACGTGCGAGTATAGTTTCAGTTTGCAGTTATATAATATTATATTTAAATCACTAGATTATTTACCTCATATCTTTTACTTACCATATCATTTACCTGTGCACGTTTCCTTTGAGTTCGATTTTTCTTTTGCAGTAACCACTTTACCTCGGCCTCATTATACGTTTGCACGATTCAGAACTTGGACATCGTACTGAAACAAATGCGTAATTTTAACCATATGTAGTAGTAGTAACTTTGTTATGTGCACGATACATGTTGCCTAATTTTTCTTGATGATGGCCTGTTTTCTTTTTTAGTTCTAACCAGCAAAAAATTTAGGGTTGCAACCTCTTAAAAGCACCCACTTCTAGGTTGTTGGTGCTGATTATTAAATTACAATTTAATTCAGCGCCAGCCACGCAAGTTCCAACCTGACAAAGTTCATAAGCTATATTCTTTGAAGATTCTGTTGCTAAGCATTTATCGTTAGTAAGCATTTCTTAGCAAGGAGAGAAAATGGATAAATAGCAAAAAAAAAAAACAGTTAAAATCAAACGCTATGTCAAGGCATAATCATATGCTATTTTTGTCGATACAATGAAAAATGTCTTTGTTGTCTCGCTGTATAGTTGGTCATCCGACTCGTGTCAACCTAACCTCTCTTTCAGGAGGTAGTTATTTTCATCGCTCTATTAAAGGAGCGTACAACTGTATACATTTCCGCGTTCGCCCCCTCTTGCTTTCACCTCGGCGCTTACATCTCTGCGCCAAAAAATGTTTCTTAGCCCTCCATCCCTCTTTACCATCTGTCGGGAGACCTTCTGTTCGGTTATCATTAAGTTTTGCAATTGGGCGAATTTCCAGCCCCACCATTGCTGAAAATAACAAATTGTTTGGTATTACTACTGTTAATTTAAATGCGTCTTTGTTTGACAGACAGTTAAACTGCCACTCAGACAAGTGGCCAATTAATTCCATCACTCGAGTGTCACTCTGTTTTGACTTCAATGAAAACTTCAATGAGAGCTCCCCAAATTCCTTCTAGGGTATTGGCATAAATACTTCCCCATGAAAAAAGACAGAATCGCATCTACCGTCTACTGCCCGTTTCTTGAATTCAAATATTTTCAAGTTAAACTGAAATGCCTTTTTTTGTTTTTTCGTCAACGTGCACGCAAACAGAGTTTAGTAATCTAATTACAAGAGCATCAAAATTTTGATAGCGCTGATAGCTGTCTTTTATTGTTGCTTTTACATGAATTTTCTCTTTGCTAGCACGCAAAAAGTATCAAGTCGTGACCTCCTCATAGTTTTCCCTGCTCAGTACGTAGGTCGTGTTTCTAAACAAGCTCAAACTTGGCTGTTGTTGCTTTGTTTTAGATTCAGAGATAATAGGGACCAGATGAACTGGCATGCGAGTAAAAGGCACTCAAAGAGTAGCCTAGCGCAACTATAATTCCATTTTGATCGAAGCAATAGTCTGATGATAATTACTAAGATTTTTAATATTAGACAATGGAAAGAATTACAGCCCGTCCAGAAAATTTAACTATGAGTAGAAATTTGAAAAATATGTCTTTCGCTAAAGGTTTTTACATTTCACCTAGAAAAGGATTAGTAATTAAATAGTCTATCAATTTTCCCGCTGACCAGCTGCTTTGGTATTTTTTTTCGTCGATCAATAATCCGCTCCAACGAGGCTTCCTTCGTTCTCATTACTACTTAAATACTCGTGAATCTCTGGCACTTTCCTTTTTCATAAATAGGAAAGAGAATTTAAAGTGAAAAGTCCATAGGATAGCCCGCCATCGCACCAAGGCGTCCCTTACAAGGTTAGCGCGCTTACTCCTGGATTATTTGTATACCCTTTTGTACCTTGCCTTTTTTGTTTGTTTGTTTTTGTGAGTTTTTGTTTTGTTTTGTTTTCCTTTTCATTTTTTCTTTTCATCATAAAAATTAAACCACAATCACCTCTTTTAGGCATCGAATCAGTTTTTAATAGGGCAATGGTACCAGTTCTGTGGTAGAATTCTCGCCTGTCACGCGGGAGGCCCGGGTTCGATTCCCAGCCAGTGTATTTATTTTTAATGTTTAATGTGGATAAAAAAAAATAAAATAAAATAAAAATAGTTAATAATAATAATAATAATAATAATAATAATAATAATAATAATATATTGATAATAATATTTACAGAAAAGATTGTTATCGTCCAGTTAACTGGCTAATTTAGTCATAACAAGAGGTATAGAACAAACGATTTTTCACAGATTGGGAGATCTGATGTACACGTCTACAGGAAGTAGGACAGTTATTTTCGGCTTTTTTTAATCGCGTGTTTATAGCAATTCTCCTCTACTAAACGTATGCTCCACTAAAACTATTGATCGATATTCTCTTCTCCATCTTTGCAACTTTTCCATTTACCATGACGTAACCACTTAAGGCATCAAAAAAAATAAAGCAGTTTTACCTGTTCGTATTCAAGGATTTGGGATCAGTGCTGGATCGCTGGTTTGATAGGATGGTTCTCACAAACAAACACATTCATTCGAAGAAGCTGTCGTGTGTTACTCATCATTTTCTTGGTTTACTTATTTTCTTGTATCTTCGAGTCCTTTTATTTACAGTATGCTTCAGATAAAAGTTCCAAGATACCCCTTAGCTAAACATTTTTCCCTTTTCCATTTGAAGTAGAGTTATTAAAACAAAAAAGAAGTTAAAAATTTGAAGCTTTGTGTTGTTCTAAGGTCACTGTTTAAAGTGTTTAGCAGAAACAGGTCACCCTTACTTTCTTGGAATTTAATCACCCTTTATCAAGAGTAAGGAGATATATTAGGTGAGGTGGCTGTTCCCTGGGAATCCGAAGAAATACAACTCAAGCATCAACGGGAGAGCGAAATGCTGCAGCATTACGAGACTAGCTATGTTTTGTGATCCGTGCTTCCTGCTCTTTTATTGGATAGCGAATATTAAGTTACAATCTTGTTTTCCTGCTTATTTGCACTTCCATTTATGGCATTAATATTTGAAGTTACCAAGTTGTTCCTAGTTTCTATTTCTTTCCTCGAGCAACTAAATATTTATTGCAGCCACCTATTGAATAATTTCCGGCCTTGTTAAGTGGGTAATCAGTACGTGTGAGTAGTCAACTAAAATTTTGTTCAAGCTCCAGCTAAACAAGCCAAAAACATAGGTGTGGTTTCTATTTTTAATCTTTACAACATCAGATAATTTTCCCACTGACCCATGGACATGCACGTTTTGTTTGTTCTGACCATATGACTAAAAAATGCGTAATTTAAACAAAAGAGAATTTTAAGACGTCGATACCATGTTACATGATAGATAGTTGTTGCTTCGTTTGTATTGATTATGCTTTGTTCGAGTTTGTTCGAGTTTGTTTTGTTTTTAACATGCCAACTATTCAAGATGACCTCAGTTAAATGTTTAGAGTGCATCTACTTCTGCAAGGTCGGTGGTGTTAAGTATTAAATTAGAATTTTGATTCAGCGCCAGCGAGTCATGTCAAGTCCTTTAGATTGTTTTCTTTCATCATTATTTTAAGGTAATCGGTGTTTATATTTTACATTCCTTGAAGGTTGGTCTGTGACTGGTTCTTTTCTGTTGTTCAGATGCTTAAGTTATTAGTAATGAGCTCTGACGCAAGGATGAACAGAGTGAAAAACAAAACAAGAGAAATACTGAATCATGATAAGGACTGAAACACTATTTTACGTACATTCAGGTCATTGCTAGTAATTCTTGTTTCTTACAAGTGAATATACTGAAGTCGATCTCCTTTGTTAGTAATCTCATGGTTAATTCGAACAGGTTTTTATTGACGCGTACGCGTGCAGAGTACAGAGAATAACCAGTCAGATCAAGGACATTAATACATAGATATCCATAATCTGGACTTCAACAACATCAAAATTTCGATAGTTTTGATACAGTTAGCGTCGTTGTTTTTTCTCTTTACCACGCCAAAAATTTAGATCCAGGTCGTGACCTCCCAAAAATCCTTCCTCCTGCAAATTATTTCTTGTTCATTGCAGCTAAACAAGCTCAATGAACAACCATGAAAATCTCAGTATGTGATCGTTAAACCTATGTTGCAGTTGCAATTTCCCTTGATACGGGAAATTTTCAAAGAGATGTTTATTGATGTGCATTACAACCCCAGCTATACAATTTTTAATTCTAATTTGATAAATTGATTTGATAAGACATTACTGTTGAACATCTATGGTTTACTAGTTCTGGCCAAATTTCCCTTCTAATTATGATTTTCAATTGCTCACATAATCTCAGTTGATAATTATCTTAAAATGTGACTTGTCAAAAAAGTCAATAAAGTCGCATTATCTGTCAAGACAAATAATAAGTCCTCAAGTATAAAAAGCGCCATTGACGGTTGGCTGGCTAATACTCTTGAGTCGGTTAAGCTTACATGACCTATAACGATATAGAATTCAGTACTAGGGGGGTAAATTAAACCTGGTTGTGTTACCAAGGAAATGGTCTATCATAACGAGTATTAAATACACACTGCAATAAAATGAGTCACCGGCAGTTTCATACTCAACTTTATTTCTTCTTATTTTTCAATTAATATTATGCCAACTTTAACTTCTTTAACTTTATCCTCACGTAATCGCACACAATTAGCCAAACATAAAGTCATACAGAAATGATAAATAATAGTTCTACAATGCGAAGGCAGGAGTTGTGTGGACATAAGCGGGAGGGTACTATTTTTTCATGCAAACATAATGAAGGCCTTTGACATGGGCCGTTTTTATACTAAGGACGCATTATTTGTCTGGGCGAACTTGGGCAAACATTCTGTAGTTCATCTGGTTGCACGTCTCTAGTATAAAGACGAGCACAACACGCATTATGCGTCCAGACGAACTACCTTTCGTAGTGTGTCGTTCAACACGCATTTCGAAGGAAAGTTCGTCCCGACAAATAGTGCGTCTTGTGCCGCCCGTCTTTATACTTGAGACTCATAACCAGATGAACTACTACGGATAATACGTCCTTAGTATAAAAACGGCCATAGACGCATTATCCGTCTTGACAAATAATGCGTCCTCAAGTATAAAAACGGCCATTGACGTTTGGCTGGCTAATACTCTTGAGTCGGCGAAGCTTACGTTAAATCAAATTGCCTCTGCACGCGTTATATTTTCAGTCTATATTTGTATATGGTTTTCTTAACACACACTCACACAATATTCAGTCCTCGCACGAAGAAACCACTTGGAAAGCTAATCTTTTGGAAACCACGGAAAGGAAGGAGACGCCCTTATTAGGACTGGGACCTAGATACTTCTTCTATCATTATTCGGGACACTGAATTCCAACCAGTGTAAGCATTACCCAAGGTGCTGCCACTACACTTTCCTGCCCATAATTCCACTCTAACTGCTCCTTGTGGGATGTTTTCACAGTACCCCTCAAATGACCGATGATGATACAAATAATGGTTCCCAGATGACCAGTCGTTGTAAACAGCGGCCTCAATCGTCATTGGTCCACTGCATTCGTTTCCATTGAACTTGAAATACCACCGATTACACCTAGCATCGCCATAAATACTCATGTTATCCTGGAAAGAGACTTTGAGGGCTGTGTCCGATTTCAACTTGTTAAAAGCACAGTCCTACGAAAAAAAAAAACGATTAAAATGTCCGCAACTCTAATAATGCTAATTAACACAAAAATCAATATATAAAATATCAGGAAGTCCACAGCAACAAACAAATATTAAGTGGTGCCGGATCTACCAGTTGTAGACCTGGATCAGTACAACTGTGACGCAGTGGGAAAGGCTCGAGAAGCTCATTTAATACACAAAGGGAACACATTATTTCCTCTAGGAATAAATAGACGCGGCGAAGCTCACTGATATATGATACCACTTAGTCTCCTATACCAATAACAATCCACTGCTTTTATTGTCACATTTTCAAATTCTTATTTGTGAGGACCTTTAAGATTTATTTTCTTTTAGCCCTTAAAGAAGGTTTGTTTTCAAACCGAAATATTGAGCAGTTTGTTTAAATCTATATTTTTGTATTATTCTTTTGTGTACTTCTTCATCGCCTTGCCCTAAGGATCAGTTTGCTGTTTCAAATTTTTCTACAAAAATTAATACCGGCCAGCTGTAGAAAGGTTGATTGGGGATGAAGGCTAAGACAATGAGGTTGTGGTCATAGCTGTACTTTAAAATTTATCTTAGAAGAATGGATTTTCGATCTCTTTCCACCTATGAACATCATCTGTGGTACTTATAAATAGTTCTTGTTTAGCTTTTAGTGCCTTTCTTGTTTACCTTAATCTTTCCGTTATCAGCACCGCTGTCTGATTTCCACACACATTGTTTCCAGTTGGTTTGTGGTACTACACTCGCTTGACTTGCTTTGGCGCTTTCTCCTCTCTCTCCTTTGTCTCCTTTTCTTCCTTGATTTCCCACAATGCCTGGCTCTCCTTTCATTCCCGCAAGCCCCGATTCATCTTTCATTCCCATAATTCCTGGCGGTCCGCTCTTCCCGGGAGGCCCTTCGCGTCCTCTGTCTCCTCTTGGACCCTGCACTCCTTGCGATCCCTTATCACCAATTTGTCCTTTTGGACCTTCTCTTCCCTGGGGTCCCTGCGGCCCAGGTACGCCCGGCATTCCCGGCATGCCATTTGACCCTGGAATGCCTGGAAAACTATGACTCAGTATAGATTTCTGAAAGTAAAGATGTGTAATTAAAAGAAGAGCCATGGCCTATTATAGCGGGGCTCCCGCGCGCGCGAAGCACGCGTGGGACAGAGTATGGTCAACCTCTTTTCGTTTGGTTGTCACGTGATTGACCGAGCGTACGTACGTACGTACATACGTACGTACGCGTCTACAGATTGTACGGGTGGGATAGGGGAGACTATCAAAAGGAAGGGAGGGGTGTCTCAGGCATGTCTTGGCAAGTCCACATCTTTAATATAGGACATTCACAATATGGTCAATTGACAGCTGTCAAAACAGGATAGCCACTGACCAGTATCCCATGACCATATCGCGGGCTCATGTGTCAACTCATCGAGGTGACGTGATTTATTTGGAAGCTGTCCGTTGACCAGTTAATTGTTTTACTAGATCGCGAACAATGTTCAATCTCATACTTTTACTTGTTAAACTGATAATGCACACATATTGGACATCAATGTTTTGATCAATTGACAGCTGTCAAAACGGTAGGTACTTCATATATGATTATTATTATGTACCGTGATATACTTATTATATCTTATTATATATTATTATTATTACACTATATATCCCTATACAACACCGTATACCCATATACAACACCATATGCTCCTATACATCACCATACACCCCATACATCACCATACACCCCTATACATATGTCATATACCCCTATACAACACCATATACTCCTATACATAACCATACATC